TGTGGAATGGAGCCTTATGATTGGTCAACGTCACTAGACCATATTATGACTTTCCCAATGACGTAGGAGATGACCCTACGGCCATTTGGCTGAACTCAAATGAGCCGATTTCACCGTAATAGTTTGCTTTTCATTTAAAAATTGCTGTTGCCTCACTCATGACAATGTTGCGGTGTCGTGATCAGGGCAGAGACTGAGCCGTTTGAGGTCCCAATTCATTTATTTATTTTATTTATTTTCCGTCATTTTTATACAGGGTAACCCAATTCAGTGATGGCACTGCTTTTCAACGGGGCCCTGTATAACACAGCACAATACAACAATCACATACAAATAATAACATTAGCATACAAAAATTATACAATAAATAATTATAATGGCAATGATAATAACGAAAACAATAAATAAATTATAATGGCAATGATAATAACGAAAACACAGTAATTAACCAATAACAGTAATAAATAGTAATAATAACAAAAAATACATCATTGTCCAGTCCAGTCATTGTCATTGTCCAGTCCTATATGTTGGCATGGAGGGGTCAGAGGTCAGGCCAATTCTTACATTTCATTTTAAAAATGGACATGGCCATTAAAGCCTGTTAAAAGATGCCATTACGAGATGGTTAGCTGTTTGATTTGCAAACCATTGTATTGCATATTTTAAAGAATTTTTTAATACTTCTGCTGCTTTTATATATGTTTTACAACTGTATTCTATTATGATTTCATTATGACTCATAATGATCATGAGTTAGTTTAAAGGGGGAGGGCTTAGTATAGGCACTTCATGCTCAAGCTTCATGTACTATGTGTTTCATTTTTATCCCTCTTGTGATTATGTTTGACTTTTGCAAATAAATAAATAAACTATTAAAAACAACATAATAGATACCTCTCCATTCTCGAACGGTGGGAACCTGGAGTAGAAGGACGTACAGATGACCTCGTCGTCCTGCGTGAACTGTGGTGTCCCGATGGTCGGCGTGATGTTGTAGTTCTGGTAACACTCCGAGTCCGAGACGGCGAAGTACTGCCACGGGCGGAAGTTTACGCCGTCCAAAGATCGCTCCAAGATCCAGTTACCAGGCCGAGGGGTGATGGCGGTCTTGATGATCACGTAAGCAACTTGGAAGATCTAGAAATGATGCAAGAAATTAGAATTTTTAGTGCTCAGAGTCCAATGGCAAGGTGTTGCCACAAGCAGAAGTTGTGCTCTCCAGCAACCTGCAGCAACAGCCTGCAGTACTGCTCCCTTAAGGTAGATGTCTCTCAAAACAATGAATTGCAGCTCATTGCACTTTAGCTAAGACCCAGTTAACTTCACGGAGTAGGTTAGTTTCTCAGTTCAGTTGAAGTTCATTGGGTCATAACTGAAGTGCAGGCGATTTACTGCCCATAATTTTCCTGTGTCTCAGACAAAACATCTTTTTTTTTAGCAAACCTTTTAAAGCCAGTTCAGTACAACATTACTGACATAAACAACGCACTAGCACACATCAGCCAAAACAGCAGTTTCCTGTGTATCTATCACACACAGATTCTGAAGATTTTTTTTCCACCAAACCTTTAACAGTCAGTTTTGTACAATATCATGGACACAAAACAACACACTGACACACACCAGCCCAAACATAACACAGGAGACCCCCCTGCTCTTTCCCCACAGCAGTTTCCTGTGGCTCAGACAGAACATACAGATGTTTCCCCTCTAACTTCCTACAGGTCAGCTCCTAATGCTGCTGTAGGAAGGAAACATGACATGGGAGAATATGTCGTAATCTTCTGTAACTCTCCACCTTTCAGCACTCGCATGTATATTATCAACATTAAGTACATGTAACTAGACAATGCCAGGCCAAGAGCTGCTTCCCTCCCGTATCTAGTACTGGTACACTTGTGCCTGACTAACTTATTACCTTCGCCAAGAAGGTTATGTTTTCAGTAGCGTTTGTCTGTTTGTCTGTTTGTCTGTCTGTCTGTTTGTGAACAGCATAACTCAAGAAGCTTAATATGTATTGTCATGAAACTTGGTAGGTGGGTAGGTCTTGATGAGACCTAGAAATGATTAGATTCTGGGCCCCCTGGCGGCTTTTGTTGGTACTGCAGCAGAACTTCCGGTTTTGATATCTCGCGATCTGGACATGCTAGGGTCACGAATTTTGGTTGGTAGATAGCTCTTGAGGTGGGGAAGAAGTGACATGAGTTTGGGCCCCCTAGCAGCTTGTTCTGGAACTGCAAGAGCGTTTCTTGAAAAATCTCCGAAGGTTGATAACTCAAGAACCGGTTGACGGATTGTCATGATTTTTGGTATGTACAGTACCGTTCGCGTTATAGTTAACCGGGTACCCCGTTACTAACGAGTTATTTTTTCGTCAGAAAATGGTTAGAAAATCGTCAGTATTTGGTTAGATTTTCGTCAGAAAATGGTTAGAAAATCGTCAGAAATTATTTCTAACGCGTTACCGTTTGCGTTAATGTGATAGGGTCGGATTTCATGTTTGTTTTGCGCGCCGACAAGACAATAGCAATTTGCCACCTCCTGGGGCGTCCGCTAATGTGTTGCGATGTTGCCCCTTGAAAAATAACAGCACCAGAGGCAAGTGTACATGTGATTCGTAAAATAACTTTTGTGGTTTATCCATGTGTCGACTGTGTGAAGCGAATTGTGCTATCTTTTAATGCTATTCTATAGTTATTTCTAGCGGAAAATTACGTTGTGTAATACAATGTATGTCAACAAAGTGTAGCAGTGGGCAGACGATGTCTTGTACATTTTGTACCAGCGGCGGCCTACCGCTCTCACAGGACGTCATGGGACGTGACGAAACAAGAAATATCTGCCGTAGAAGAAATATAAATCGGTAACTCATGCCTTAAATTCACGGCGGTTTTTGACACAAAAGAAAAATTATTATAATTTTTGTAAGGCGCGCGGCTTACTAGTACTACGCGGCTTTAATACTCACGGTAAAATGTACCGTCACTCCCGGCGCAAGGACTCGGTTCGCCAGCTGAGGACTTTCCACAACCATGATGATATCATAGTTAATAAAGGAATATATAATAGATCTATCATGTTGAAATGATAATTGTAATACATGGTTCTATTTAATAGCGGTAGTTTTGTTTCTTATTTTGAGGGGGGAAACTGTCAAAAATCGAGTGAACGCAAACTGAGATCGGCTCACTTCCGGGTGCATAACGCCAAAATTTCTCGACGATTATATAAAAATGACCACTTATTTGCCGCCTACGGTAGCGTGTACACGGTAGTGCGATCATATCGTGCCAAAGTCAGCGTCAAACGTCAGAAAATCCCCGTAAAAATATAGTTGCAAAACACATTTCCTGCGCACTCAGGGCCGGTCGCCGGCATGTGAAGCAGCATGCTCATTATAATATGCAAGTAGCTACGCTCTGATTGGTTCACCTTAGATGACCTGCGCTGTGATTGGCTAGAACGAAGCCCGTTGCATGCTGGGGCGCCCTTCCGCGCGAAATGCAGAGAGCTGGATCTCGAGAGAGCCACATTTACGCTGGTTTCTACCTTATTTCTACGACTAATTAGCAACATCCTAGTGACGAAATGCGTACTCAAAAGAATTTTCGGGGAAAAAAATATATGTACATGTGGATTTGTGGTGCCTTTGGCGTAATTTTGTTGGTCACATACAACGTAATGTAACACGGAAGTGCATGGAGTCGGAGTGGCGGCACGGCTTTCCGTCCCACTCTAAACAAAACTCCAAGGACATAACAAAACTCCCCAAAACTGGTCAATAATTAGCCATAAAAATGTTGGTGGGCACGTGTAAATATGCTGCCTTTTTTCGAGTGTTATAGGAATTTTCCGCGATGTTTTCGCACATCCCTAACGTACCTCACGCCCGCCGCCTATTATGTACGGCGGACCGGGGCATTTATAACTTCAGATCATCTAGGTTTGCTTATTCGGTGGTAAAATAAGTTAACAGAGAAAAACAGCAAAACAAAGTTGACAAACTATAGAAACGCTTGCCTGGGCAACAGTGACAAAAGAAAATGTCTATCTAATTGAATTGCGCCGGTGATCGTAAAACGTTTTAAACGTTACAATATAGTAAAATGCAGGCTAGATCAACGTTCCTTCCGCTGTTCCAGCGGTGTGTATCGGTAATTTCCCGCCCCGCATGAGGTAAATTAGTACTCCTCCCATTATTCTGTGATGTTACCGCGGCCTGCATATGAATGCAGAAGTCTAACGGAAAAGTAACGGAAAAGTAACGGAAAACTTACGCAAAAGTTACGGAAAACTTACGGAAAAGTAACGGAAAAGTAACGGAAAAGAAACGCGTTAGTAACGGCCGTTAGGGTAACTATAACGCGAACGGTACTGTAGGTAGCTGAAGTGATACTTGACATAATCAGATGACAATTATGCAAATCAGGAGCTAATTTGCATAATTAATGAGGACATTCTATAAATCTGCTTCGTTCGATTATAGGACTTTGAAACACTTGTGACATGTAATTGAGAACTAGAAAAACATCTGAGGATATAGATTATGTAAATGAAGACCTAATTTACATAATTAATGGAAAATTGTTATAATTTCATAGTTGTAATTGCTGGGAATTTCATACTTGCCGTATTTGGAAGTTAAGTGAAGGTGAACATCAATGAAGATAATTTATTCACATTATGAACTCATTTGCATAATTTATGAGGAAGTGCTAGAATAGCCTATTTTGTTAAGATAAGGCTGCCATTGGGTAGAGAATATGATCAACTGATGTAATCCATGCAAATGACGCTCTTATTTGCGAAATCAATCATTAAAATTGTATAATTCGTCAACCGCAAGGGTTAACATCATTTGGCGAAGGTATGAGATCGTGGAACTCTTGTATTAGTTATAACTTAAGTACAAAAGCTTTGCATGTCTAAGAGCACACACAGTGAAAACAAAAAGAGTTTTGAATGACAAATAGAGATCATAATCACGAAGGTAATATGGTTAAATCTTCTACCATGTACGAGTATGCTATTCCTACACTTTGGGAGATATGTTATATCTGATGATGATAGGTAATTATTAATTCAGGTTAGTGCATCTTACACAAAAGAAAGGGTCAGCATTTTTGGAATAAAAGTCTACTTCCAAGTTCTTAACAACTCAAAGTCAACATCTGTTGCAGTTCAAAGCATCCGTGTGAACAAATGCTTCAGTTTTTCCTGTGCTCCACATTGCTACACTCATCACTAAATAGCTGCGACCCGCAGACAATTTTAAACCCCTAGGGTCAAGCCCACAATGCACAAACAATGCTGTACACACTACCCACTGCAGTCCTTTAGTTAACCAACTACAGGGTTCTATACAACAGATTGGTCACGGTCCTGTGCTCGGGTATTCAGGACTAAGCCGCCTATGTGACGTCTTTCAGGACCTGCCAGGACAGATTTCCCACTCCTGTTATATTGGCTGAAATTTGTGAGCTAACTTCTGGCCAGGTCTCTCTTGTGCCATCTGCCAGGATGGGAGTCTACTGAATCTATGCTGGACAACTGGTATGCAAAATTCATGATATAGGTGTTTGGATTTGGAAACATGGTACAAATTCACATTGCTTGTACCAAGGAGGTTAAAAAGAGAGATGTATACTATTAAACCTTTTTGGTTGTATAATGAGGGATACAGTCAAACTCAAACATGTACTTGTGACCACCTCTACATATGCATCAAGGTGCCAACATTACCAGTTTTCGTGGTCCCTTAGATACACAATCATCATCATTAATAAGAATCTACAGTGGCAGTGACACATAAACAAGGTTTTATATTATCTGCCAGAGCAGTCTTTTTGGGCCAGTTTGACTGTATGTAAACCAGTTCCTTCTGCAGCCTAGTGCCTTGTCTACACACTGTTCATCCCATACACTAAATGTTCAGATACTTGGGTGGTCACTGTCACGTGTATCTGTGTGTCAACAACAAAGACGCTTGACCTAACCCATGAAGTCGTCTGTAGCTTTAAGGCCACCTTCTAACCTTTACACATCATTAAATGTTACAGAAATACAGGTACCTTGTATCTTGTGTTTGTACTGGATTGCATATGAAAATGTTCAGTGTATGATAAGGGTGCTTTTCTGAGGTCTTCTAGATTTTAATTTTAATTTTAAAAAGGAAATCAACATACACGTAACATACTATGATTCTACAAAAATGATTCCACGCTTCGGCTGCTATGAAAATATAGTCTTCATTGATGCAACCATACCTTAGTTGCTGTAAAAAGTCTTCAATGTACATGCATTACAATCAAATTAATGAACCCAACAAAATAGCTACAAAACTACAGCTACAAAAACAGCTACAAAACTACAGCTACAAAACTAATATATATGTAACGATTCTATGGTCAAATGGCGGTAACGTTACTGTTTAGAAAGAATGAAATGTTTATTTTGGTGAATTTTTCAGTAACAGCTTGGTTGCTTACACACATCAGATGTAGGAGATATCTAGGTATGATAAGGGGGAAGTCACATTGTTGTGGAAATAGTTTCCTGTCAATCCGATGACCTTGGCTCATTCCGTGTGTGCAACCAAAGACAAAACAGTGCCAAGACATGTAATCTTAAAGCAAATGTATTTTTTTAGGGGGGGGGGGCAAAATAGTAACAGTACATGTTAAGACATTAGGCCCCTGGATGTTGTCACAATTGTGGAATCACAGGTCAAAATGTCAGAACTTGAACCACCACATCAAGTATGAAATTTCTGATTTTTCTTTCCTCTGGAAAATAACAAGTGTCACTGTGGTAGTCCAGCTTTCCTGTGATAAAGAGGAAGCCACATTGTTGTGGAAATAACTTCCTGTCAATCCAATGTTTGAGAATGACCTTGGCTCATTCCATGTGTGCAGCCAAAGACAAAACAGCGCCAGGACATGTAATCTCGAAGCAAGTGTTTTCCTGCACAATCTTGTCAATGACATTATCTAATAGACATACAGCATGCAACAGGCCAGACAGTATAAATTTGGCCTAATTTTACTGAAACAAAAACTGTACCGTTGGACACTGGTACACGTGAGCTTCTAAGTCTAGCTTACAAGTATGTCTAACAACAAACATGAAGAAAATCAGTCTTGAACGACATTATATTATAGAGATATTTATCGCTGGGGTAATATAGTTTTGGACTTTTCTGTCAATCCGATGTTTGGGAACAAAGACCCTGGCTCATTCCATGTGTGCAACCAAAAACAAAACAGCGCCAAGACATGTAACCTCCAAGTAGATGTTTTGGGGGGCGAAATCATGTCTTGACAGTGTACGATAGATTAGCCAGACAGTATCAAATTGGTCCCCTGGATACTGTCATGATTTTGCCCCCAAAACATCTGCCTGTACTCGGCTACATTACACCAATCAACTTGTTACTCCATTTAAAACCCTTGAACATCTAACTCTAGACATTGTTTTAAGTATCTTTGGTGTGTGGTGGAAAGGGAAGGATTCGGGTGGGGGTGGGGGGTGCAGGCGGAAATGACCAAAGCTCAACCCCAATCACTACTTTACACATTCCAGCAAGGTCAGATCCTACTACTATGTTCATTCTTTTGCTTAGTTTCACTGCTGTCTTGACTTTTCCCTTTGTGGCAGTCTAGCTTCTCTGTAACCTTGTAGTCTGTTAGTCTAGACATCCCAGTTGGAGGAATGACTCCACTGGCTTTGCTAACAAAATATTTGTCTCTTTCCTACAGTACATGACAAAACAGTGCCAAGACATGTGATCTTGAAGCAAGTGCGTTCCAGCACAATCTTGACATTATCTGATAGACATACAGCATGCAACTAATTTTACTGAAATAAAAACTGTACCGTTGGACACTGGCACACTTGAGCTTACAAGTATGTCTACCAACAAACATGAAGTAAAATCAGTTTTGAACGACATTGTATTATAGAGATATTAATCGCTCAGGTAATATAGTTTTGAACTTTTCTGTCAATCCGATGTTTGGGACACGACCTTGGCTCATTCCATGTGTGCAACAAAAGACAAAACAGCGGCAAGACATGTAATCTTAAAGCAAATGTATTTTTTTAGGGGGGGGGCAAAATAGTAACAGTACATGTTAAGACATTAGGCTCCTGGATGTTGTCACGATTGTGGAGTCACAGGACAAAATGAGAACTCGAACCACCACATTAAGTATGAAATTTCTGATTTTTCTTTCCTCTGGAAAATAACAAGTGTCACTGTGGTAGTCCAGCTTTCCTGTGATAAAGAGGAAGCCACATTGTTGTGGAAATAACTTCCTGTCAATCTGATGTTTGAGAATGACCTTGGCTCATTCCATGTGTGCAACCAGAGACAAAACAGCGACAAGACATGTAATTGTAATCTTGAAGCAAGTGTTTTCCAGCACAATCTTGATATTATCTGATAGACATACAGCATGCAACAGGCCAGATAGTATAAATTTGGCCTAATTTTACTGAAATAAAAACTGTACAGTTGAACACTGGTACACGTGAGCTTCTAAGTCTAGCTTACAAGTATGTCTAACAACAAACATGAAGAAAATCAGTTTTGAACGACATTATATTATAGAGATATTAATCGCTGAGGTAATATAGTTTTGGACTTTTCTGTCAATCCGATGTTTGGGAACAAAGACCTTGGCTCATTCCATGTGTGAAACCAGAGACAAAACAGCGCCAAGACATGTAATCTCCAAGTAGATGTTTTGGGGGCGAAATCATGTCTTCACAGTGTACGATAGGTTAGCCAGACAGTATCAAATTGGTCCCCTGGATACTGTCATGATTTTGCCCCCAAAACCTCTGCCTGTATTCGGCTACATTACACCAATCGACTTGTTACTCCATTTAAAACCCTTGAACATCTAAGTTCTAACTCTAGACATTGTTTAAAGTATCTTTGGTGTGTGGTGGAAAGGGAAGGATTGGGGTGGGGGTGGGGGGTGCAGCTGGCAGTTTGACCAAAGCCCAACCCAAATCACTACTTCACACATTCCAGCAAAGTCAGATCCTACTACTATGTTTATTCTTTTGCTTAGTTCCACTGCTGTCTTTACTTTTCCCTTTGTAGTACATGTAGTCCAGCTTCTCTGTAACCTTGTAGTCTAGACAGACCCAGTTGGAGGAAGCACTCCACTGGCTTTGCTAACAAAATATTTGTCTCCTCCTACGTCTGCTTACATCCAAGCTTGATAACAGCACAGATAACTATAAATATCATAACATCCTTCTTTAACTATTCCACAGTTAACTTCAGTTTCAACTTACTGGGGAAGAGTTCTTTCATACCTTGATATCTATCGCTGTAATTGATCCCTAAGAAGATTTGTGAGGAGAAAATATTTTGTAGTGCCTGGAGTTTAGCACCTCCCTCACAAACCCCAGCTGATATTTTCCAGACTAGAGCCAGCCACCCTCAGATCTGAGGGTTAAAATTTTCAGTTACAAAAACACGAGGCGTAAAAATAGCATGAGAGATGTACTTTTCAACAACGAGCAACTCTTTGCTCACTCTTTGTCAGTAAATGAAATAAATACACATGTTTTTCTTTCAAATAGGTTCAAAAAAACATCCCTTTCCAACTTGGACTGTCCCATTTTAAGCTTACCGTAAATGCATTTACTTTCGAGGTGGTTTCATTTCACTGTATGAGGAGAAATGAGGTTTCTGTGGTACTTGAAGTTCATGGTAAAAACAACTTTACAGTGCAATAGAAATACGAAACTTATTTTTGGTTTCACATCTAAGGGAACACAGGGAATGGCAAAAATAAACCCACCACAAAAGTAAATGCATCTACAGTAGCTGCCTTGCATGCTAGCTGTGTCATGTCTGTCTATCCAAAATACCACTGCAGGGTTCAGGTTTCCTGGCTCTAATCCATATATGGTGGTGTCCTTAATACTACCCATGTCAGGGTCTCTACTGTGTTTTGTGATATTTCTTAAATTCGGAAAAACTTTAACGATGACATTTTATACATTTTTTGGCAAATTTGGTTTACATTCTAAAATATTATACAATTTATAGCAAATATTCTATAGCGGGGGGGGGGGTCAATACTATATTAGGACTGAAATGAAATGAGTTTTGTCTCTCTCTGAATGAACATAATGGACATGGATGGTAACAGCTGTCCTGTACCTGTACAGGGTTAAAGTTCAGAGATCAACAAATAAGGCTTTCATGTGCTGTCTGAATGTTCTGACCTGGCCCTGTGGCAAATGAATATACAAATTAACAAACTAGAAAGGTAACATTTGCAAAGCGAATGCGTAGATATGGTGGCCAGCCCCTCAAACTCAGTCCTGCCACTTGCTACATAATGTAACCCAACACCACAGGGTCTCGGCTACAGCACCAGTCACCATGGTGACAGCCATCTGGTCCAGGTCATTAACCTTATGAGTTATGTCTCTGGAGAAGCTGCACAAAGTCAATGTATTTTCTTTCTGGCAGGTAAGTGGACTCCGGAAGCAAAAAGGAGGATCAGTCGTCCTACCACAACTCTCAAGAAACTGGTAGAATCTGAAACTGGTTTACAAAGATCTGAACTTCTCCTGCTACACCTGGTGACTAGGATGACCGAAGAAGAAGGATGACCGAACAATAATACCAACCTGTCCCAGATCCAGTGTGATGGTGACCCAGTTGTACTGCAGCTTGCTACATAATGTAACCCGACACCACAGGGTGTCTACTACAGCACCAATTACCATGGTGACTGACCACTGGTCCAGGTCATTGACCTTCTAAAGGCTTCTATGTTTGGAGGAGGAGAAGAAGAAGAAACAACTACAATTATACCAACCTGCCCGAGATCCAGAGTGATAGTAACCCAGTTATACTGCCTTCCCTGAGAGATGGTGGGGCTCTGCCACCAGCTGTTGGTCCCGTCGATGGCGTTCTCGATGGGATGTCGCAGGTACGGGTCGTTGTCGTCGCAGACGCTGCACTGGGGGTCCTGGGGGAAGGGCTCTCCCGGCACGTGCTCCACAAGCTTGCAGTAGTTCTCGGGTCCGTTCAGTCCGCATGTCGCGTTGGCAGTGATCTTAGCGTTCGTGGCGAGGTTGAAAATCAGCGGAAACAGACCTGGAAGTGGTAAAATGCATCATTAAAACTTTGTACTACATTTCTTGTATTATTATTGTTTATTATAACACTTTTGTAGTAGTTTTCCAGTCCGTTCAGACCGCAGGTTGCTTTGGCCGTGATCTTAGCATTCGTGGTGAGGTTGAAAATCAGAGGGAAGAGAAACGGAAGTGGTAAAATGTATCATAATTTATATCTCTGTAGACGATAAACAAAAGACGATAAACTGGATAGTGAGTGTGAGTGAGTGAGTGTAGGTTCTCCGGTCCGTTCAGGCCGCACATAAAGTTTGCCGTGATCTTAGCGTTTGCCACAAGGTTGAAAATCAGTGGAAACAGACCTGGAAGTGGTGAAATGTTCATTGACATTATACTTTATAGTGCTGATTAGGATACCAAATATTTATTGATTTGAATGAAACCACTCTCTCCTTCAGTAGGCTAAACTTACATACAAATATTCATGTACAATGTACGTCTAGGAATGTGTATGGTCAAGTTTAAGGATAAATCCTTTTATATTTGTATACTTGTATATTTCATCTTTCAGAACATTCACAATCTGTAGATTTCCCTAACCAGCGATAACAATGCTGGACATGAAAAATTCTATGAAGTGATTCCACAATTGCATGACATGCATAAGAAATCAGAGGGGAGAAAATCTAATAATTTCACATACGCACTCATTCACATCTGTACACACACATGGGTTGCAACTCCCCTGGCATATCATTGACAATGACAATGAACTTTACACAGTCTATTTGTCAAATGTCTACTATAGAAAGTCTGTCTACTCCAGGGATGTACCTCTAACCACAAAGCACCATGGGTGGTCCTAATGGTCTATCATTATCTATAATCATCTCTAAATAAGCTGTTATCCACTGTCAGTAAAGAATGGTTCCTGGCTATACTACTAATTATCTTGAATCTTTATTTCCATGTCCATGCCCATGGGGCTAAATGCATGTACATGATGATGATCAGAGTGTGATGTTACATGTATATCATACTGAGTAACATACATGTGTAGTAATAGTATTAGTACATAGAATATGATAAAAGAATAATGTAAATGTCTTAGGAACTACAAGAGAATATATTCTATCTAACCTAGGTCTTGAAGATTTCTTCTCTATTTTTAAAGCATCTGGAGATAAATTCACATAGTTTTTCTATTATAACAGGTTTGCCTACTCTCCAAGCAGAGGTTTGGGTTTAGGGTTATTTTTGGCGTGTTTTAAAGTAAGACTTTCTTATCAGGGTTTGTTTTTTGCACTGGAATTTTTGTTTCACCCAAAGAAAAATTCCAGTGCAAAAAAGAAACCCTGATAAAAAAAGTCTAAAAACACGCCAAAAATAACCCTAAACCCAAACCTCTGCTTGGAGAGTAAGGTTTGCCCCCCTGAGGTACCAACACCTCTAGAGATAAGATGGAAAGCCCCAGATATCATCTCTGTTACCTCCTACAATGTACCAGCTGAGGCGTGTAATTGTGGCCTGGTTAGTGACTACTGATGCATGTAGAGATACTGGCTAATGAGGTACATGACAGAGTGGGATAAACAGGTACAGTTGGGAACTTCTATGTTGTCTCCATCCAAGCAGATTTTGGGCCTGTTTTCAGACATTTTCAAAGCTTTTCAGACATTTTAACTGGTGAAACACACGATAAAATTAAAGGCAGTGAAATGTTTTGTTTTTTATATCTTTTCTGTTCTTGACAAAAGGTGGAAACAACGACCAGTATATCATTCCCAACAATAGCAAACAACTTCATGTGTTTATCTGTGAAAACATTGCAGTAGGGGAGGGAAAATTCACTTTCAGCTTGCATTGACATTTCCACCTATGTACCAAAAATGTAGTAACAGTAAAAATCAAGGAGCAAATTCTTGTTGATTTTTGGTGGCAAAAATTTTACAGAACAACGAAAAAGTCACGAAACAAAAAGTCATAAAACAAGGATTCTGAGAAAAAAAGGTTGGCCAGTTTGTTATTTGAGTAAAATAAACACGTGGAGTTGGGAATTAGAAAACGCCACTGATGTGGAAAAACATCACTGGAATGCTGGTAGGACAAATACGGAAGCCTTACTCTATTCTTTTTTCCTTCCCAGACCCTGGGCTCTTTCAAAATCATATCAACCGGCTTTTACATTTTGTTGCAGACAGGGCTCAAAATACTGGTGGGTGCATGTGCACCTTAGTCCACCCAAATTTGGAGTTGTACACCCAATTTTTTTCAGTGCACCCAAATGTTTTTGTAGGTATTTTTGTACATATCAAATATACAATAGTATACAAGATATTCTTGGCATCCAAGTGTCAGAAAAATAATAAAACCTTTGTCGTATTACCAGTTTAAGATTTTGAAGTTAGCTTCCATTTCAGATTCAACCTCAGAGGAGAAGCAGTAAGATCTGTAATTATGTTTTGTTTTATATGGTGCACCCAAAAAAATTTTTGTGCACCTAATTTCTTAGGTTGGATGCACCAGTGCAGCTACATGTATTTCCAAAACTGAATTTTGAGCCCTGCCTGTGCTCTTTCAGAATCATATTAACCCGCTTTTAGTATTTTGTTGGAGGAATAGAATTAGGAGTAGGGTATTGACATAGCTGGCGGGAGAAGTGGTCCTTTGTTACAGGTTTGTGAAGATTTATTTGTGGCTCCTGACCTGACTGGTGACATCTGAAACTACGCAGGGCTGAAAGGGCAAGGTTCTGACATTCCTCAACCTGGTTGAGGTCTAGCTAGTCTCTAGCAGACTAGATTTGAACAATGTGGGCTGAAAAATTACAAAATCTAAAAAAATAGTTGGGAAAGTAATTTTAAAAGTAATTTTATAAAAAACAAAAATTATAACATCTGAAACTACGCAGGGCTGAAAGGGCAAGGTTCCTACATTCCTCAAGTCTGTCCAGGCCCTAGCTAGTCTCTAGCAGACTCAGTACTGTTGAAATAATCAGAATGGCAAAAATAAAGTTGCCCATCAGAATTTTAGGTTGCCCCACCTACAAGTTACTAATTTCTCCAAATTAAGTATTTGGGGAAATTGATATATTGACAATATTTCTAATAGCCTTTAGTAATTTAACTGATACTAGTAATTTAGCCATTAATACCTAATATTAAAAAGCATCTGCCAGTTACTACAATGGTGCAAGCCAAGTGGGCATGATTTCGTGGGGGGGGGGGCATTCTTAAAATTCAGGTACTCTAGCACACTAGGCTAGTGGGTTCAAAAATAGGTTGCCCCAAGTAAAATTTGGTTGCCCGGGAGAACTGGGCAACCAGGTATTTTGCACACTGAGACTTTCAATGTGGTTTGAAAAATAGTAAAATTTGCCCAAATAAGGAGAATACTGAGAATACAGGGAGTTTAGCCACCACCGAGTTCACTTCCAGGGGGAAATTCACATTTGCTTTGTAAATGTTACCCTTTTTGCAACTCACTCACATATTCTATCAGAAACAGTACAAAACATAAAATCGTTTCCAATATCCACACCAACAAGCTTCACACGCACAGCATCGTAGTGACTGTAGATGAAGGCTTTGCCTTGGAGTTGAGACGTGGAATGTATCAAAAGAATGTGGTGACCACAGAGGGGGAGGGGAGGTCTGAATGAGAGCATGAACTTCATACAAAAACCTCTCTGTTTTGGCATCCCTCCCGGCACAGTTGTGCAACAAATACGCACTCAAAAACTTCTCTCTAGTGTTACAAAGCTCCAGACACTTTGCTGCCATTGTAGATCGAAAATTGAAGAACTCAGATCCAAAATTGCATTAAAATTTGCATGCTAGATATCGTAACATCAAGAAAGAAAGCCCAAGAGTCAAACTATTATTTTCCTTGTACATGTACGTCCCAGTTCTTCAACCCCATAAGCTTAAGTTGCCTTGACCCTACACTATATCCTAGAAACCATAGTGAAGGGTCTAGAGTGACCACCTACAGAGTGACCATGATACATCCACTTGAAGTACAATATAAACATCAAAACAGTCTGGTCTGGAAAGACATTTCTCCCGACCTTTTTTGACCACGTCAATCTTTCACACTAAGATTAAGAAACCCCTCTATTCCTCAGAAAAAAAAAAAAGAAACAAATTTCCAACTGAACACATTCATAGATAAAAACCAAATGCATGTATTATATAACATGGCAGAGTTTTGAATTTTGATTGATTAAAAATAATGTAAAACCAAAATAGCTGCAAATAGCTAAAATAGCTGGAAAGACTTTTCTCCCAACCTTTTTGACCACTTCAATCTTTCACACTAGGAAACCCTTATTCCTCAGAAAAAAAAAACATGAAGACATTCATACATGTAGATAAAAACCAAACACATCATAACATTGGCTTTTTGATTGATTGGAAATAATGTAAAATAGCTGCAAATATTCATAAAAACCATCAGACTCAAATCTGTGTATCTCTCTGAAGCATTGCAATGGCATTTGTAGTAGACAGTCTGACCTCACCTAGTAATATTTTGTTGTAGTAGTCACTAGTTATACCTTGTCTAATAACTTGCATCCGAGTAACACAAAAGTATAATTGTACAGGTTATATTATGCTACTGTTCAACTGAGTTCCTGACTAGAATCACAAATGTAGTGTCTTAACTAAGGTTTACTCACACCACATTTAACCTTTACTTGGTTCATAGCAACGTACTAGTTATTATATCTTGTGACTTTCAAGTCTAATAACATACATCTACATGTAAATAACACAAAAAGTACAGGTCATATTATGCTACTGTTCAACTGAGTTCCTGACTAGAAACACAAATCTAATGTCTTAAACTAAGGTTTACTCACACCACACTTAAGCTTTACGTGGTTCACAGCAAGGTATACAATTACCCAGCACAAAAAAAAGAAAACCAGGCCAAACCAAAGATTGTACACCACGTTAAACACTAACACTATCCCCAGATAACCTGCACTGTTCAAACATCACAGTCAAGACCCTTCGTTCCTTACTTGTCAGATTGGCTAACGCCGCTCCCGTCACCACTGCCATCTTGGCCTGCCCTCACGAGAAGTAGTAGAGGACTCCCCTAGTGGTGTGTGCTTGACCGCAAACCGGTCACCGAGGCGAGAGAGAAGAAAAAAAAAAGCCCCTCCTCGCCCTGATTTAACTCGATAAATGCAGGGGCAAACAAACGCGTCCCTGTAATGGTTTTGTACACACAGGGTTCGGGTTGGCTGGTAGCTGTGGGCCTGTGTGGCTCTGATGTTTACAGGTAAAATATGCTTTCAATTACACATGGGGGCATGGAGGGAGACTGCATGGCTCTAATTGGACGGCTTTCTACTAGTATATCCTTTGCTTTACATATATTTTTGCTTTCGGTGGTGGTGCCTGCCACTGTTTGGGGGGTCACACATTAACAAACCCAACAAGGATTTGGAAAACAAATGGGACGATGACAGAGAGAGCGTCTTTGCTTTATTGTGAGGGGTTTGGGTTACACAGGCCCAGTGTTTCAGGCTGGAGGTATTAGCTGGAAAACGGATCAGAGATCAGGTGACAGGTATGCTACTGTACAGCAAGGTTCAATGAAAATCCAGGTGAGAAAAAAAAAGGTAGATCCCATTTCTAGAGACTACAGCAATTTTCTAGTATCACATGCTTTTCTAAATCACATGCACTGATACAGTGCTTAAGTTCTGAAAGATCTTTGAATACAAAAATAGCAACAGGTTCAAAGTTTCAAGCATTGTTTAGTAATTATAGGGTTCTGCTGTGAAGTTGAAGCATTGGCAACTGGGCTACCCAATATGAACTTTGTTCTTTACTTCTTAAAACACACGTATAAATGGAAAGGTAGTGATAGAATAAGAAGAGCCATTTGTGTTTTATTTAAAGGCATCCAGTGCAGTTTTTAGGGCTTGAAAACCAGATTTTTCAAAGCCAATATTCTAGTCATTTATCTACATTGAAACAAATCAATCCCAATATATATTGACGCTCATGGAGCAAAATCGTGACGGAAAATGGTTACTGGAAGGGCCCTGGGCTAATTTTTACTTAGGATACCACCCAGAAAATAAGACTCCTCTTGGGGCTTGTTTCTGCAGTTTTAAAAGCTGGAAGTATGAAATACTGACTCAAGTGTGCTAATGTGAAGCAGTATGTGTCAATATCACAAAGATTGCCTTATTCAGAATATTTCCAGTTTTGCCACCCAGAAAATAAAAGACTCCTCTTGGGGCTTGTTTCTGCTGTTTTAAAAGCCAAAAGTATGAAATACTGACTCAAATGTGCTAATGAGTAATGTGAAGCAGTATGTGTCAATATCGCAAAGATTGCCTTATTCAGAATATTTCCAGTTTTGCTGCCCTGAAATCGCATTGGATGCCTTTAAGTTAACTGTGGGAAGTGGTGGGCTGCCTTGTTGCCCTGACCAGAAGAATGCAGCAAAGTAAACTTTGAAAGAGGAGCCCTCCAGCTGTCTCTGCTCAGCCCTGGCTCTGTGTACACACAGTAACACAGGGTCACATTCTTCTGGTAGGGGGGAGGGTATCCTTGGGGTAGGGAGAGATAGGGTCCATAGTTCTAAGGGGGCCTGCATGGGGGGTCCCGACAACGCTCTATGCTGAATTCGGAAACCTCTCGATTGCGCTTTACGATAAATTCCAAGTGGCTACAACGCATTACGTCGAATTATAACGGCGAATATATAATACTCTACGCAAAATGAGCCAATTACACTTTACGTTGAATTACTCGTAGAGTGATCCGTCTACGCTCTACGTAGAATTAAAAACAGCCGATTGCGCTCTAGACAAAAGGGCTTGCGGGCCCCCTTCTAACTTCTAGGCGTCTTAGCCTAGGGGCTATAATTTGAACCCCCTACACTGTGATTTAGCCCCCTACACTGTCTTTCAACCAGCGTAGGGGTGTTTACATTGGAGAACCTTCGTAAAAAATGAAAATATGGCTGTAAGTATAACAAAGGGAAAATAACTCTGTCCTTCAATGAGTAAGAGATAGAGAAACAGGGTTGTGAGTTTCACAATTTTCAGGGAGAATACTACCAGACCTCTGCTCAGCCTGCCAGTGTACACACTGTGAAACATTGTCACATTCTTCTGGTAGGGGGGAGGGTTTCCTTGGGGTGAGGAGAGATAGGGTCCATAGTTCTAAGGGGGCCTGCATGGGGGGGTCCCGACAACGCTCTATGCTGAATTCGGAAACCTGACTCAATTACGCTTTACGATAAGTTCCAAGTGGCTAAAATGCATTATGTAGAATTAAAACGGCGAATACGCGCTACGCAAATTGAGGCAATTACAATTTACATTGAATTAGAGCGGTCCGTCTAAGGTGGGGAGGTAATAGTATTGACTTCACCCACAGCCCCTTTGCATACCCACCCACTAAAACTAGTAGGGGTAAAGGGTTGGGCAGATGCCTTCAGCTAAAGAATACAATACTGTAAAATTAATGCATTTACTTTGCGCTGGTTTTATGTCGGTGAAGGAGGGAAACAGAGATTTTTGGCTGTGTTTGAAGTTTGGAGTAAAAATACTTTTTGCAAAACAATCAGACCACAAACACATATCTTATTGCATAAGATGTGTTATAGTTTTGTTTGAAGAGGTCACCGCAAAAAAATGTTAAAATGAAACCAACATTTAAAGAATTACAGTACCAGTATAGCATGAACAGACTGTAACATTACCCCAACTAAAACAAATTACATCTACTCGCCAAATATGGTTGTCTGGAATGTCAGTCCGAGTACTGTAGATTGCTTTATTTTTAGCAGTTTTGATATTCATAACATAACTCATAGTTACAGACCATAATTGTTGATTACCAGAATATAAAAAAAAGGCTGAAGGTTACCTGATTTTGTAAATTTCTACTTTATCTTGGTCAATAAACACTTCTAATGCACTACATGTTCTTCCTGACAAACCTTGCAAGATTATGTGCTCAGAAACGGACTATACAGTATCTAGGTAATAAAAGCCTCTATTGAAAGGTTACTTTCCACCAGGAAGCTACTAACTGTACTACTTCCAACAATACAAGTATGATACACCCACATCTCCACTTCCCATTCTTTCAGGTCTAAAAATTTTGGCTTGCAATAATGCTAAGTGACCAATAGGGGGTGCTTCATCAACGGACCAAGTTTGGGCTGTGTCGGCCATTGAACCAAGCAGATGTTGTGAGAAATGTTTTGTGCCTTTTTAGGTTTTCCTGTTAGTGTTATGATTTCTTTGCAAAAGCAACACTGGTATGGCTATGGTGTTAGAAAAAGCTATGACAATGCAAATCAGCAAAACATACCCCCATCAAGTACTGTAATTCCTGATTTTTTCACTGTACTGTTATGTTCACTGTTTTCACTGTCGCTTCTGTACAGTGAACTTATCATTACAGTTAACAAATAGTTCCTGGACTTTCTTTTTCCTGCACCTGTCGCCACCCTGAATATATAGTTCCATGAACATGTCCATTTTCCTCAGACCGTGAACTTTTGCTACTGTGAACATAGAGGTATCATTACAGCTATCTGTAAGAACCAGTGAGGGATATGATACAGTCACTACTCTATCACTAGTATCAGGGTGGTCCACACGACATAGTGTTTACCATACTAAGTAACACTAGACAGATCTAACAAGAACAGAGAAACACTATACACTTCAAACAGCTGACTACAATGGAAGGTATCAAGCCAATGATCGTATGGATCATTTGAAATCTTCCTTCCATGGTTCTCTTGTTTTCCCTAGAAAGAAACACCTCTACACTGGTTGAAAGACAGCTTAGGAGCCTAACACACGACATAAGGGTTCAAACTTTGCTTCCTAGAACATTGATGTCAAACTGACCTTAGACAAATACTAAACTCTTACTTAGGCAGTTAAACTAGACTTTTCGTCATTTCAAGCCATGGGAACACAGAAGTCTCTTGTGTTTTCATTGGATCATTTGCATGTGCTATGATGTACATGTATACACATGTAATCAAAAGACTAGTTGGAAATCTCACTAGGCAGTCAAAAAAGAAATTGGAGATTTCAAATGTCTGGAAAGTATGCAATCCTCTGCTCCTATACTGGCTCCAGATTCTAAGACCTTTGACCTTCTCTCATTCTTCAACCACCCATGTGCTGTCAACAGTGTCAACCTACTCTGGACAGATAAACCCACTCAGATACCCAAACTAATACTTCATTTCAGTACCCAGAAGTTAATCTCCAAGCAGATCATTTGGTGGGGGTAAGACGGTATCAAATTGGCCAGTCTGTAACCATTTCCCCACCCAAATGTTGGTTAGCCTGGGTACCATCCTACTTGTATGCCGGGGCTCCCACACTCGCTTCCCTAAGAAGTACTTCTTAGGGAAGCGAGTATGGGAGCCCCGTTATACAAGTAGGATGGTACCCAGGCTAAATGTTGGTGGTGGTAGCGACAAAAAAAGGGGCCATATATAAAAAGCAAACGATCTTCCACCATCAACCTCTGCTTGGAGAGTACCCAGAAGTAACAAAGGAGGACATACATGCATGCTTCAGTGTGAAATACAACTTTGCTTACCTCCATTTTCATCTACTGCCCCTTCCAAGCTGAAGGTTCCTGAAAGAAGAAGAAATCGAGTTAGTAAAAAAATCAAATTGTTAAACAATATCTTGATGTCGAGACCATCAACAACAATGTCAACTCATAATAAATAAAAAAATAGTACATGATCCTGATATACAAATCATGTTCTGGGCCATACACATTATCTCTTTTACTGAAACAGCAACCAGGCCCTATTAAAAAGATGTCGCTTGTTCATAACTTTATCGCCATCACACGTTTTCCATGAAAAATTAGAAAAAGTGTAATTCTCACTTTGACTATTTGAGTAATGAATAATGAGCCCATGGTGGGTATGTCGATGAAGGTTAGAGTAACTTAGATATCCAGGAAAAAACTTTTAAGATACATGTACTAGAGTTCAATTTTACAGTTATTCAAACAACTTCAAGCACTGATGTGTATCGTACGGCTAGGAGACTGGACAGTGGTACAGTGTACAATGTTTCACATCCTTGTAGTGCATGTATTCTGTGATTATTGCCAGTATACAGTGAACTAACTTCACCCTGCCCCTCATTTGACCAAACAGCACACAAAGTTACTCAAGCAACTTTTAAAATCTATCCAGTTGCTGGAGTAACTGCTACTTTGGTGCATGGGTGGGTATCGCACAGGTTGACTGGTACAATGTATAGTTTTTCACATACTAGTATCCAGTCATTATTGCCAGTATACAGTGAACTAACTTAACCCCGCCCCTCATTTGACCAAACTGCACACAATCGCCTGTTTGACAATGTTATGGGAATTTACTCCGTGTTTATATAACAAGGCTTACAACTTGGGGCCAGCTAGGTGACATGCCCAGCACAAATAAATCTCACCGCTAAAGACTGGTAGGGCCTTTCAAATCTTCTCCCTGGCACATAAACACGTCCAGCTGTGTATGTACTGAGATATCCACAGTAGGGCTGGAAATACTGGGTGCATGTGCACCTTACTTACTAGTTAGTGCACTCAAAATTGAAGCTCATTTTTGTTTCTGTGGGTGCAATGGTGCGCCGAAATATTTCTGTGGGTATTTTTGTACATCTCAAATGTATGGTAGTAGACCGGATATTCTTGGCATCTAAGAATATCTGGTTTCAGATTCAAGCTTAGAAGAGGAGCAGTAAGATCTGTAATTAGGTTTTGTTCTATAATGGTGCACCCAAAAAATTCTTGGTGCACCTAAATTTTTTTAGGTCCCCAGAAATGAATTTCTAGCCCTGTATCCACAGTCAATCTGACCCCTTAGCCCCTTGCTGTACCCTGTTCCAGACATAATACAAGAGGCAACAGACGTCGTGTTCGAACCTGATACAGAACAAACATTCCGAGTATTGAGGTTCACCTTCTGGCCCGGCTCACACCTGACACCTCATTTCCTGGCCCACACACTCGGGCGCACCTGAGCTGGAAACCCTTTTTACTTTAGTGTGGCTGGTGTTGTTGTAAGAACTTGGGAGCAAAATCAACAAGGCCTGTTTCTAGGCCTTTGATTAAAGTTTGAATGAGTTTAGAGACTGGCAAAACTTGTATTGAACATTCAATGAACTTCTACTAGTAGTAGTAATAGTAGTAGTAGTAGTATGTAGAAAATGTTCAAAAAACATTTTTACTGCTGGTATTTGACTGTGTTGTAACTTAAAGTAAGGTCTTGGGTTCAAAATTAACTGAACTTGGCTTTCTACATTGCCTTTGAATGCGCTGAGAGGGTTGCATAACCTGTGTTGAACACTTGTTGAACTATGTTGAAAATGTTCAAAAAACTTTTTACTTGGCTGGTGTTGTAGTAAGGATTAAAAAATTGACAAAATCACTGATCTTTCTGTTGAATTTGTCGCCGTATCGATTTGAGCAAGGTGTCAAGGAGTTTGAAAACCCTAAATTTGTTCTACATTTCAAAGTTTTTTTTTCAAAAACCTTTTACTAGACTCTTGTTGTTATAAGGACTTGGGTTCAAAAATCACTGACCTTTCCTTTCTTAGCCTGGTTTCCAAACCTATTTTAGGTGCAGACTCTCTTTTGTCCTCTGTGCAAATACGAAAGAGAACGGGTTTGGATACAAGGCTATTGGTGGTATACAGGAGTTTCAGAACTGTAAAATGTGTGGAAAATGTTCTACATTACGAAGTGTATGAGGGCCTGCATGTGATTACGTAGTGATTACGAATTACGCAAAATTTTCGTCGCCGATTACGAATTACGTTTAAGTCCCAGAGCTTATTACGACTTTACGCTTTGTGGCTAATGTACTATTACTAATTGCGTTGATTTTTTGGGGAGACTGCCTACGGATTACGAAGACTAAAAATCCTGATTACGCCTTACGAAAAAGGGCATGCAGGCCCACTTATATGTCATCATATAAACTAATAAAGTGAATATTTATAAATCCTTATTACAGTTACCATGTTTGTGTTACTTGGCCTGTTTTTTATTCATTGGTTCTTGCTGTAGCTAATTGGTACCAACAAGCTCTTTTGGAAACTGTACCAGACTGTATCTACCAGTAAATCCAGTTCTTTGTTTGAGCTCTTTAGTCCAATAAGCAGAGATACCTGCGTAGGCTGTTTTACATGAATACCACCGGGTAACTCTATAGGCGGATATCCTAACTAGACATGAACCATATGCCAGCCCTCGCTAGCCTCCATAGCATGCCAAAAACTGGGGGTTTCGGGGGTCTTTGGGATCTTTCATGATATTTCCTGATTGCATATAGACAACATAGCCGGCCTGGTTGAATTACCCCCGTTTTTAGAACTGGGCTGATCAGAAAACAGCCGAAGACCACCAAAACCCCAGTTCTATAAGCCTGCTAAGGAGGCTAGCCCTCGCCTTCTGTACTCAAACACAGAGGGAACATACACTTCCTCAGGGACTTTGGAGGAATGTCAATTTTCCCTGTCACTTGGGGCTCTAGAAATTTTTTTGTCAGCCCAGGTTCATCACTGGATCAAGCGCCCCCCTCCCAAGTTTGGATTTTCAAGCCTTCAAAAATGAAATTTCCAGCACTTCGAGAGGCAAATCATGGTGTTGAGAGTGGTGGTTGGTGGTCCTTTGGCTGTTTTTATATTTTTTTCCCAACATTTTAGTCAATTTTGCCCATCAAGGTTGCCCAAAATTTTCAGTCACACGTCACAAAGTTCACCCAGGCTAGAAAGTTCTTGCAATTGATGAAAAAAAAAAAACAGTGCTGGCTAGAGCCCTGGAACAGACACTTCCTGAGGGACTTTTAGAAGAATGTCAATTTTCCCTGTCACTCCCAGGCTACCACCTTCCCAAGGTGTCACTCACGGTCGTCTGTGCACAGCGGGAGCACCCTGCGAAGGTGTCAAGGCTTGTAAAACATGGTCCAAACTTGGCACACTGCTCCAAAGTACAGTACAAGTGTGAAGTAATCTCCAAGCAGATCTTTTGGTGGCTACAAGATAGCCTCTACCAGGCTTCGGGAGGCAGCTGGAAAGAGCAGAAATTTACTCTCCAAGCAGAGGTTGATGGTGGAAGATTGTTTGCTTTTTATATATGGCCCTTTTTTTTGTCGCTACTGCCACCGACTTGGGTGGGGAAATGGTTACAGACTGGCCAATTTGATACAGTCTTACCCCCACCAAAAGATCTGCTTGGAGATTATAGAAATTGGCCCAACAGAGAGAGAACATGCTGGGAAAGTTAGTCCGCTAGAAAGTACATTTTGCTGCACCGAAGCCTGGTAGAGGCTAGCAACAAGACAGTATCAAATTAGCAAAACAGTATAAAAATCTGTCGGTCAGTCTCAAAAAGACTGATTAAAGTCAAGAATATGAAAATGGCAGGGCAGTGGAATCGAAATACTTCACGATTTAGCTGGCAAAAAAAAAAAAGATACCGGTACATAAAGAGCCTTATAAATGTATAAAACTGCCCCAAAATAAGCCAAAGCCTACATGTAGACCTCTGCTTGGACTTGGAGAGTGGGCAGATAGCAGCAGCTGCAGACCAAGGCTGGCTGGGGAAGCGGATTTTGTTTCAGATGATGACAAACAAATGTGATTTGGATGCCTGGCGGATCCTGAGTGGCAACCTGGGCTGATGAGCAGAGAAAGGGCTAACAAAGGGTCTTCTCATGTGCAAGGACAGACCCGCAATAGACCAATACAGACATTTGCTTATTGTAATGAAGCAGGACTGCCTCTCCTTTTGTTGGTACAAGTTGATGAGATCCAATTTTCACTGTTTATAACCACTCAAATTTGGTTGTTGTAATAATGTAAAGATGGCTCACTATCAACAACTCTACACCTCAAAAGAGCTTTAATTTGTTAATATTCAAGCACTGATTTGCAAAGCACTCAAATCATCAGAATACAGCTACAAGTTGATGAGATCTTTCTCTGTTCAAACACTCAAATTTGGTTGTTGTAAAGATGGCTTATTAGCATCAACAACTTTAGAATCTACATCTCAATCTCAAGAGCTTATTTTTAAAGTATCTGTTCCTTTATTTCTACAATAACTGTAAAGCGAGGAGAGGTTGAATTCAAGTATTTTGACGAAAGTTTCTTTCTGTTTGTATCTGTTCATCATGTTTTGTTGAGACCTGTACTTAGCCCAGTGTGGCAAAAAATGTGCAATAATGGTCGTCATTCATTCAATCATTCGATATTCCAGCACCGATTTGCAAAGCACTTGAATCATCAGAATACACAGCCCAAAGCTCTTCTGGTGCAAGTGCTAATGGCAAAGGAAACAAATCTCGTCAGCCCAAACGTTTGCGAACTCTTTAGGCCCTCACGCATCTGTTTAACACATCTACTTCAAGTATCAATCAGGGAGCCCCCCTACAGGAAAAATGGGCAGTTTTCCCACGGCCATTCCCTTCCACCTACCATAACCTATCATCAGATTCGCCAGATTTTCCCCCCGCCCTGTAATTCCTGACAAGCCTACATAGCTGGCTTTGGATCAAGAGAAGGGCTGTTTTTTTGCGATAGTAGGACTAGGCCACCATTTCTGGTGGCTGGCTGGCGACACAAGGGAGCCAAGCTATCAGAAAAAGCAATTTGAAAACACAGCCTCTCTATCCTACTTTCCGGACTTCTGCAATGACTGTCTGAGACTTGGAAGCTAAAATCGCAAGGTAGACACTGGAAATGTTTCTTCTTTCAAACACCATGGAGATGCCTCTTTGTAATATGGAGACGTGCACAATTACACCAGCTTCCTAGATGTAATTCCTGTGGATCAAAGCTACAATGAATTGAGATTGAGAAGCATTCAACCAACCAGACAAGCTACAAGACTACATCAGATGACTGGCCTTCTAGCCTAGTTAACTTCGAACCTAAATTATTTGTGTATATGTAAATCATTTTATGTGGGAAGTTACATCAACAAGGCCTGTTTAGGCTCTTGTATCCAGTTCTGGATAGTCCAAGTGTATCCAGAATTGTGCCTGGGGCAAATCTACGTTCTTGGATACGCGGAAAGTATCCAGACCCGTGTCTGATCCTAACCCTAACCCATTCAGGCATAGAACAAGATCACAGGCATGGTTCTGGATACGAGATTGCCCGATGTTGCCACGCCAAGTCTTTCCTTCCTATTGGCTCAAACCAGATGTCGATCGGGTCTGAACTGTTACTGCATACTCCACATGCCCTGAAGTCTTTCTCCCTCCACCAAGCTCTCCTTTGGGCTCTATTTTCAGATGACATCTTGCTTTATTTATAAAACAAGCCAAAATCCTCAGATAGGCTCCAATGCAAATACTGCTGGGACGGTGATTAGGAATTAGCTTAGTAAAATACACTGAGTAAAATCAGTTTACGTGGACAGAAATGATTATGGTAGGCTAACAAGACAGAGCTAGAAATGGAAAGGGAGACCTTAAAATAGCCAGCTTGTTTCTGGTAAGGCAAAACCGTGTTTCCATTTCAGTTGCATGATAACAGTCTGGTAGAGTGTGCAAACTGTGTAGGTTATCAGTTTCACAAAATTATACAACAGTCTGAGACTGAGAACATGCTGAGAAAAACACTCCTCTCTTTCAGGACAGGAACTTCCGAGAGGGTTGCTTTTGTAGTTTGCTTTTAGAGTTAGACAGAAAGCATACAGAATCCGTCTGGGGGACAGTCTGAGTATTTCCTAAGTGGGGTTCGGTTGTGTTTGGCAAAGGAGGGAAAGGAAATACAGGCCATACCAGTAGCCTCCATAACATGCCAAAAACTGGGGGTTTGGGGGTCTTCGTGGTCTTTTATGTGCTATTTTCTGATTGCATATAGACAACATAGCCGGCCTGGTTGATTTACCCCCGTTTTTTAGAACTGGGCTAATCAGAAAACAGCCGAAGACCACCAAACCCCCAGTTCTATAAGCCTGCTACGGAGGCTAAAATACCAAGGCTTGCGGCCGAGCTCTATCAAAAATTAACTCAATCAAAACCATCAGGGCAAGGGGTCATCGTAGTCATTAGCGAGATTCGCACTTTTGTCCGACTTTCTTATGGAAAACATGTGTGAAGGCGGTAAATTATTAGCAAGCGACATCTTGTTAAACAGGGCTGTGCATAAAGTCGGGGCACAAAAAACGCACAAAGCGAGAATGAAAAGCCGAGAAATGGGAATTTCATGGCGTTTTGAAGTGCCGTCGCCATGTTGCAAGTTTTTTTTTTTTCTCGGTGTGTGCAAAGAGGCTAGTTTCGTAACAAGCACGGGTAAAACTTCCACAAACGTCGGTTACTCCCAAAACGCAAGGAAACTCAAGTACCTGAAGTACTAAAGTATTCGTAGCTAGCATGCCGAGCAGAAGTTTTCTATCGAGCTTGACTTGCGAACAACAAAACTTGGCTATGTCGGCGCGCGCATCAACGAAAAGACCTCTTCACATTTTTCTAGCACTACACGCGACATTTCTTTAGCAAAATCTCAGAGACTTACAAAAAAACATGAAAAAGGAAGAATATACATACCCTGTGCTGAAGTGGCGACCCACAGTAACGTGGTGCACAGTAATATTCGTAGCACCATTTTCATTTTGTGTGTGATAAAACTTGGCCGGCTAACCGGGCCGGGTTCAGACCTCAAACTGAGAGTGCACGCTGAATAAGGCCGCCTTGTGCTCCGGACATGGCAGCAACCACTTCTAAATAGGGAAGTATAATTTTCTTTTCTATATCCTCTCATATCTATATTGTATCTTAGATTTTAAAAACAAAATATATACTCTATATAAAAGGAATTCGTATATTTTTAACATATAAAAATGGATATTATTACACAGGATTTTGATTTTTTAGAAAGCATGGAAAATACAAGTATACCCTTTTGAAGTGGTATGGTCTGACCGAGAGTTGTAAATTGATCTTGCAAGGGGCGAGGCGCCCTTGTGTTTGATTAGTTGTGTGTATCACGTCCACGTCTGCCCTAAAATTTGGCGCGCGCGTGTGGGAATACACATCCATTGTTTTTGATAGGATACGAATATTGGTACCGGGCTTCAGAAGCGGCTGGAAAGAGTACAGTAGAATTTGGCAAAATAGACAGATAACACGCCAGGGGAGTTGGTCCGTTTAGGAGTACATTTTGACGGCATGTTTAATATCTGTCTATTTGGGTCGAGGCCAATAATTTGGCTAATTTTGCAACGGATAATTAGATGAGAAAAAAATAGAGAGACGCTGTTTTTTTCCCTTATTCTTGTTTATAAAAGTTAACCTCCTTGCTTAGTCTCCACCAGACTCCTTTACAGATAGTAGATAGAATATATAGTAGAAATCGACCTTAAAGTTAGTAAAAGTAAAACGGAATGTAACTGGCCAGGACATTGTCCTTGGCCGGCCATAGAGGGTTCGATTTGCGTACAATTGGCGAAAATATTTTGTCATGTGTTCGAAATTACAGTTTAAACTTGCCTCATTATCTCCTCAAAACTACTCTCCTCTTAACATCCGAAAACCCACAAATTACAGAAAAAGTGGGATCCTTTGTCTTCCTCTGTCTTCAAAAAAGAAGTCAAACCCAGTATAGTTTTTACTAGTAGTTTCTTAGTAGTTGTCAGTAGTTTTATGTGTGTTATGTGTGTTATGTGTATTTATGTTAATTAATATCTGTTTTTATACCATGTTTCTTCAGTTCCTGCAATTAGCCCTCGGGCATGAATTTGCAATAAAAACTTGTCAAAAACTTGTCATTATCCCAAACCCTGAACACACGTCCTGTTTTAAATCCGCCCCTACTCCACACAGATGTATAAAACGTCTGGCTTATTTGCAGTTTAAACAGAGAAGACCGGGTTAACCCAACAAGCGGACGCAACAATGCCCGCTGATTATGCAGATTGACATGCTCATTAGCGAACACTGTAACCTGGGCCGGAAAGGGACAATACGTGATAACAAACAGACAAATTACCTTACTAATACTAAAGTAGGGCAGGCGGATTGAATGCGTCTCTCGATTCCCTGAGAATTTGCATTTCTTCAAGGATGCCACTGAGCCATGACACCCATGTAGTGTGTCAGATTGGGGATCATTGGGATAGGATAACCAGACATAGCCTCTACCAGGCTTGGGGAGGAGGCTGGAAAGAGCCGAAATCGGCCAAATAGAGAGATAAGCATGGCAAGGGAGTTTGTAAGTTGAGAGAACATTTCGCCGCACCCCATGTTCTCTAAACGGACATACTCCCTTGCCATGCTTATCTCTCTATATTTCTACTCTTTCAACCGCATCCCCAAGCCTGGTAGAGGCTGAACCAGACATACTCTCCAAGCAGAGGTTTGGGTTTTTGGCTTATTTTTGGCGTGTTTTTTTGGGCTAGGTTTTTTATTGGGGTGTCTTTTTTGCACTGAAATTGGGTTGCCGTAAAAAATTCAGTGCAAAAAAATAAACCCCGATAAAAAAGCTAGCCTAAAAACACGCCAAAAATAAGCCAAAACCCAAACCTCTGCTTGGATAGTAGACCTACCACCATGACCAGACACAGACTTAGGCCACAGCAAGTAATTTTTATGGATGACATCAGCGCGCGCATGTTTTTCGCCTGATTTTTTGGGGAAAAAATAAATTTTGTTGCCTTCTGACAGTGGTCACCAAATCTGGTGTTTCTATACGTCCGCGTGCACGTCCGCGTGTTTGTGACCGTATGTATGAAAAGTCGTTTTGTTTACTTTTAGTTTATCACCAATATTGCTCTTGCTCTTTCCTGTTCTTGCCGGAGAGCAGTCGCGTTTCCGCCCACCTTCCGCCCAGGTTTCCGCTCAAGACATTGCAGACATTACAACATGGCCACGGACCGCGTAACTTCATAGCATCTACCAGGCTTCAGACGCGGAAAGAGTAGCCTCTATCAGGCTTCGGAAGCGGCTGAAAAGACTAGAAATTGGCCAAATAGTCTTTCCAGGGGAGCTTGTCCGTTAAAAAGTAGTTTGCCTCTTTAGCGAACCAACTCCCCTGTATGTTTTATTTGGCCAATTTCTACTACGTATATTTCCAGCCGCTTCTGAAGCCTGGTAGAGGCTAGATACCTTGCACTTCTCCTCAGTCACGAGAGAAGTTAGTTCTTCCACCTTTGACCTCTACACTACAGCATATTTCGCCCGTGTTTAGACTGACATCCTAATCTTATCCCGTTTTATTGGAAGGAAGCTGGCAGCTGTTTCCGTCAATCTCGAATCTGGTTTAATAGGCCCTGCCTGGATAACAAATGTTGTGTTTCTGGTTTCCCGACCGACTCAGCAAAATCTACCGACGAGGGTCGACCACTAGACTGGCAAGGCCATACAATTTTCGATCTGACATCTTAATTTCAAACCCTCTGAAATTTTTTGATACTAGTAAGCACATTTTGTATTTATTTATTCATGCATTCATTGATTCATTCGTTCCTTCCTTCCTTCATTCTTGCATTGAATAATTCGGGTGAAACATTTTTTTTCCTTTCTCACTTTGAGAGTCCCTACTTACAGACCCTAATTTTTTCGACACCAACACTCCATAAACACATCGTATTTTCCCTAGGCCTTTAACCTTACATGGTAGGTTCGTGTGTGGGATGCCAGGCGAACCGCTAGGGGGTGTTCACCAGGTCTCCCTCCCTGCTGCTCACCTGTCGGGTCTTGTGGACGCGATCAAGGCACCCGCACCGCTGGTCATTGTAATGTGACTGAATAAGAGACAGAGCGAGAGAGCGAGAGAGCGAGCGAGAGAGAGGGGGGAGAGAGAGGGAGAGAGATTCAGAGAGGGAGAGAGGGAGAGGGCGAGAGAGTTAGGGAGAGAGGAGAGAGAGAGAGGAGAGAGAGTAGAGGAGAGAGAGAGAGAGAAAGAGAGAGAGAGAGAGAGAGAGAGAGAGAGCATCCCTACCTACAGACCCTATCTAAGACTGAAACAGGGAACACAGCATATTTTCCTAGGACAAAACCTTAGCTTCTACCAGTCTTCGGGAGGCGGCCGGAAAGAGTAGAAATTGGCCAAATAGAGAGATAGCATGCTGAGGGAGTTGGTCCGCTAGAGAGTACATTTTGCCGCATCTCTCTATTTGTCCAGCCGCTTCCCGAAGCCTGGTAGAGGCTATGTTAACCTTACATGGTAGGTTCGTGTGTGGGATGCCAGGCGAACCGCTAGGGGGTGTTCACCGGGTCTCCCTCCCTGCTGCTCACCTGTCGGGTCTTGTGGACGCGATCAAGGCGCTTTCGCCGACAGCGCTGGTCATTGTGATGTCGTTGAACTTTTGGCAGTCACCGAAGCAAATATCCGTTTCGTAAACGGTCTTCGCCTTTCGATGCCAGTATCGCTGACTCATCGTTGACTGGTCGATGCCATATCCGAGTGTATTATAACTTCTCGTGAGGTCAAAAAACGTATAAAACGTGACGTACACTATAAAGAAATTTAAAGTAAGAGAGGATCAGGAAAAAATGGTGAAGGTATAAAATAGAATATGCACAAGCTCGGATTTAAACCCGGGTCAAAAAGCGTAGCTCTAAAACCCTACCCTATATACACTGTATATGTAACCAGGTCTCCCTCCCTGCTGCTCACCTGTCGGGTCTTATGGACGTGATCAAGGCGCCCACACCGACAGCACTGGTCATTGTAATGTCGTTGAACTTTTGGTACTCACCGAAGCAAATCTCCGTAAACTCGTAAACGTAAATTTCCGTAAACTCGTATACGGTCGTCCGTCGCCTTTCGATGCCATATCGCTGACTGGTCGATGCCATATCTGAGCGTATTGAGGTCCAAAAACGTATAAAACGTGACATACACTATAAAAAGCAATGCAATTCGAAATGCAAATGTAAAGGAGGATCATGAAAAAAAAATGGTAAAGGTATTAGTGAAAAAAGAACAAGCACAAGCTCGGATTTGAACCCGGGTCAAAAAGCGTAGCTCTAAAACCCTAACCAATATACAATATATATGTCACAGGGGAGACTGGAATCCAGGGGGATCCGGAATCCTCCTAGGGGAGATAGGGATTCCAATCTCCCCTAGGAGAGATTGGAATCCTGATATTCAGATCCCAATTCAGTAGTACAAATACTAGAACTCCTAGATTGAATCATTTCACACCTAAAGTTTCAATCAATTTCAGCATAGGCAAGCCTATTACTATAATTGTAGGTGAATTACTAGATTGGAATCAAGATTTGTCCTGGCATAATTTGCAGTTCGTATTCCATAATTGCAATCTTTCCAAACTTAGACCCAAATATATTTCCAATTGGCAAAATAATGTGAAAATAAATTGGCAATATAAAGGAAACAACAGTATACTTACAAACCATGATTTTATTCAGAATTTACAAATCACTAGCAAACTGGAAAAACTGGTTTTGGAGTCACTATCTCACAATGGCCTAATGAAAATATCTGAGTCTGATTTGCATATTCACTTAACTTAGCTGAAATTGATTGAAAGTTTAGGAGTGAAATAACTCAGTCTATTTTCCCAAGCATTTTGATGCAATCAGAATGTTTCTTTTAAAATTGGAGATTGTCCTGTAAGAATTCCCACTTGTCCTAGGATAAATAGGAATATCTCCCCTAGGAGAATCTGGAATCCTCCCAGGAGAGATTGGAATTCAGATATTCAGATCCCAGTTTTGTACCAA